CGAGGTAAGTTCTAAAATTGCTAAAATGCATTTTGTGCATAAGTTGTGTCGTTTCCAGGGTTTTACCGTCCAGTTACATGGCGAGTTATATGTCGTGATTGGTGGTTTGAGGTACGAGAGCCTGTATCTATGATCCATGTTTGATTTCCACATGGCTGGTGGTATTGTAAGGGGCTGTTCGAGGCTGTGGTAGATTGGGGATGAGCTTCCACACCTAGCGTCCACACACCATCCAGAAGGACGAGCCAAAGCCTGGAATTGCACCGGATAATCAGACCAGATTTCATATTTTTTTATTAACTCATTTCAAATCTATTTACTTACTGTTGACCAATTACGTAATTAATTATGTAATTATTAGATATCATTTTTGAATTTCATTATTAAAATATAATTTTCTTAATTTTAAATATACAAATTTTTACATATTTTAATATCTTGTCAAGTATTTTGTGATGGTGTCACTTGACATATTTATTTAATTAACTTTTGATTGATTGACGGAATTATGTGCGCATACAACAAGGTTCATGAACTGCGTTAGTTTGAGGTACTTATTTAACTTTATTTTGCGTAATTTAATATTAATATGTCAATGATTTTTGATCAACAAAGCAAATGATACTATTTTTTTTATCATACATTTAAATGTTGATTACTTATTTTTCTTAAATATTAATTCATTTTAAAAAACCTAACTTCATCCACATCAATTACTGTCCTTGTCTAATATTTTTTTAATTATAAATAAATTTAAGTTGCGGTAAAGAGATCTATTATTTCTGAGTGAATGTCCTGGCGCCCAATAATTATTGTTTTATTGATTAATTATAACACCTAATAAAAAAAAATAAAAAAAGAAAAAACGAACCTACGACTGCTCCCAAAGACGAAAAGCTGCCGTTTGCATTGTGTCAAGAAAACGTTACAGTGTTGTTAAGTGTAGGGTTGCTGTTTTAGGTAAAGTGCAAAAATGACGCTCTAACTTAATTACTATCGATCTGCATCTATCGGAGTCCCCTTTTCTAAGGTTAGATAAGCTTTTTACGTTTAATCTGGGCGTCGAACAAGTCAAGACAAGGCGGTTCTCAAAATGAAGCCATATTTTTTTAAAATTTAAAAAAAAATAATTTTTTAAAAAAATATTTTCAAAATTAAATAGCTCGGTTATTATATTAATTTATTTCAAAAATGGTAAAGAGAAAATATGTTTCTTTTGGCTAAATCAATCACCCCTTAAAAACCTAAATGTAACAAAGTCAACAAATATTTTACTACTCTACTATTTTTTTCAAGAATAAAGTTTTCAAGAATTAGGGACGTTTGTTCATTATTCTATTTCCTCCGTCCCAGAAACTCGTTTTTCGGAATTTTTAAATCAACAAAACCCTCGTACAAGAATTCCATCTCCCCTACTCCCTCTTCCCCTGCAACCTCGGGTCGAACTAGGCTTGTTTAGGAGTTGTTGTTGTTCGCTCTACGTAATTGCACGGAAATTTCAACAGGCCATCTGCCAGAATAAAATTTAATAAAATCTCTCGTTCGCCGCTCCGCCAGAAATGTAAAATAAGTCGGTAAAAACGGTCGCTTAATATTCGCAGACACGGCCGACAATAATCCCACGGTTAAATAAACGAAGCCCTGGTACTATTCTGGAAAAAAAAAACTACCGTCTCAATTAAGTCGTAATAGAAGTTTGATTATTCTCGCTCGAATTTCCACCGCAAAATTTTATTTTAATAAAATTCGAAAATCCGCGATTCGTGACCTAGAATTTTGTGGTTGTAAATGTCGATAATTGAGGCATTATCGTCTACCTTATTATCTTGAACATTGAAAACATTGAGATAGATATTGTACGTCTACTGGATTTGTGTCTACAAGCGAAACACACCCCACCCACTCATTACAATGGCTACTTGTTGCAAATTTGTCGAATTTTTATGGACCCTCAACTGGCGTGGTAGGGTTTAGCAGACCCCAAGGAAAAAAAAATTGGCGCCGGAAGACACGTATAGCCGCCCATACTAAAATATCTTAATAAAAAGTTGGTAGGCAGTTCTTTTAGTTTCAAAGTAAGGGAATTTTTCTATTTTTTTTAAACAATATTTCATTTTTTTTTATCTCAAAAACTGCGACTTTGACTGATTTTGATGTTATTACAAATTCTGTTGCAAATATTATTCCTAATCTTAAATTGAAAACCGCGCTTCGCTAGCTACTGTAATTTTGGAGTTATAATTTTTTAAAATTTTTAACCCCCTCCCATACCCCATTACCAACCCCCCACCCCCACCAAAAACAAATTGCCAGATTCTCGGGTGCGACAGTATTTTTGTGCCAAATTTGGTTAAAATCGGTTTAGCGGTTTTTGAGTTATCGTGTTAAATATTTTACCCAAGATCCTTTAATTTTTGTTAAATTAACAAAAGGTGTGTCACAGCCACCTAGATTTTATCAAATAATAAAGTTCTACTGACGCAAAATCGGTAGTAACAAAAAAAAAGGGGAAGGCAACCTAAGAATATTTTGAAGATATATGAATTCTCCATTGAATATCGGAATAATATACTGGTTGTTCTATTTAAAATTAAAGAGTAATTTGCTTTTAAAAGTGGCCAATGTTTAATATTAATTTTGTCTTGCCCTGTATAACATATTACTAGACACTACTAAACATATTAACAATTACGAGAATATCTGTTCGTAACTATTGCTATTTTCAAAATATAACAGATACGAAAATAACAGTTGAATTACATCGATAGCTAGTGATGTGATGTCGTGATCACCACGTTACGAAAGTCAAGCGAGCTCTTAATAGCTGCTATTTCTAAAAAAATAACAGGTACGAAAATAACAGTGCGCTGATAGTGATAGTTCGCGATGTAAACTCGCAATAGCTGTTATTTCTAAAAATAACAGGTACGAAAATAACAGTATGCTCTCAGCGGTAGCATATGATGCGATGTCGGTGTATTCTGCCGCGTTAAGAATTCGATGAAAGCTGAAAATAAATAAAGAAAGCTGATATTTCTAAAAAATAACAGATACAAAAATATGAATTTCGAATAATCGCTCGGCGAAATTCTATAAGACTTTTGAATAAGCAAGTCACTATTATTTTCTTCATTTCCAATGCGTAAACAAGAGTTGACAGATTGTATATGGTAACTATTTGTGTAACTGATTGTATATGGTAACAACACACTTTATTATTTTTATGGCTTATTGTAAGGGAAATGCAGGTATAGATTGGAACAATTATAATCCTCATTTACTGACCTGATACTATAATGATAGTACATAGGCAATATCTGAATAATTATTGGTAGAGATTATTGTAAACCTGTCGCACTAATTATAGCAAATTATCAAAATTCACAAAGCTGCTTCCCTCTCACAAAGAACATTTGTTCATTAGCTTTCAGTTTTAACCATTATTCCCATTTGCACTAAATATTTTGCTCGTTTTTATACAATGAACTGCAAAAGTTTTGAAACAGTATCTGCCTTCAATCGTATTAATAGATAATAATATGTAATTTGAATTTAAAACGGTAAAAGTTGTGCTAGTTGGAAAATTTTTGAGGTTTTTGGTGGTCTAAAGGGGTGGAATAGTCGAAAATGGCTACTTTTACTGGACGGGATTAGTAACTTAATCCAGTTTTAATTGCCAGCACTGACCCCTAGCCCTAATCGGGGGTTCCATTCGGCTGGAGATCTCTGAACATTAAAGTTCCAGTTGTGTGATTTGGCAAATCGTTGTCATCAGTTTTAGAGATTTGCAACATGTAAAATGGACAAATTTATTCATGTATCTCTGGCAGAGACTGAATTAGAAGTTTTAAGAAAACTGCAATATATGTATATCTGTATATCTGTACCCTAAAAGCAAACTATGTTAATTCTTAAATGGAATATTTGAGATATATACGTAAAGTTATTTGTTTACGCTGTATAACAACCGAATATATCAGAAACTTTAAAATTCTTTGAAAATAATACAAACCTCTCATTAAACAGATTATTATCAGCCTATAACTAGAATATATTTTTGAAATATTTCAATTCAATGAAACTAATATAATATTGTAAGATAATATACAAGATAATATTGTGTTAAACATGAACATTGTATTGGAATAATTACCTTTATAAATAAGAACTCTCTGTTTCCTAGTTTTAATACACCAGCTACTTCTATTCATAATCATTTAACTTTCTGCGATGATACTGTTTAGTTTTTAGCCACATATATTTTCTTTTATAAATCATACTTGTTTCACAATAGATATTATTAAACTAACAAATGGATTCTATTCGTACGAACTTTTGAATAAAAAGAATGAAAAAGTCTCATATTATTTATATACAGGGTGACAATTTGAAAACGAACAGTATTTAGCATTACCTCTACCGATGATAGTATGAAAATTTGGCGAAATATGTCAATTTACATATCTAGGGGGACAATTTTTAAGGCATTTGTTGTCGTGTTACTTTCAACCTTTTGACCCCCAAGGCACCTACCCCTAAAATTTTAAATGGCAACCCCTATTTCTTTTACCCTTTTTGTGTTCCTTATAAAATTCTCAAAAAAATAATGCAGTTTATGTAGAATTCTATAAGAAACACAAAAATGGTAAAAGAAATAGGGATTGCTATTTAAAATTTTAGGGGTAGGTGCCCTGGGGGTCAAGGGGTTGAAAGTAACATGACAACAAATGCCTCAAAAATTGTCCCCCTTGATATGTAAATTGACGTGTTTCGCCAAAAATTTTCATACTATCATCGGTAGAGGCAATATTAAATACTTTTCGTTTTCAAATTGTCACCTGCACACAATGCAAAGTGACGACATATTTTGAACTTCTTAAATGTATTGAACACATAGTAAAAGTTGAAGGGGGGGGTTAGGTAAATGTATAGCTAATTTAACAGTTGCTATAATCAAAAATGTATTCTTAGTTTATTAGATTTGAAAAAAAAGTACTGACCGAAAGATCACCCCCGTAAAAGGGATGAATGACGAAGGTCTCGTTGCCCACGTGGATGACCCCGCTCACACCGTTGCACGTGTGGAATGCCGCCGTTGCACCTGGATAGTCCTGCACCTTGCCGTGGTAGTAGCAGTGCTCGATGTCCTACAATACAAAAATAATAAATTGTTTTAATATACAGGGTGGTCCGAACTGTATTCCGGAAACTTTGGCAGCATATTCTGCAGATAAAAATAAGTAAAAAAGCTCGTATAAAGGTATGTCCTAAAATACTTAGTTTTGGAGATACAGGGTGTAGTAGTTTTATCTGTATTTCGATTTTTTCCAAATAATTTCTGAAGTAACGCCAATATTTTGATGAACATTGGTGTCTGGGGGTTTTTGACATGAGAAATTTGATTTTGTTGTCTATATGACTCCTATTTGTTGGAGGCGCCACCTACATATTTTTTAACTGTTTTAAAGAGTAATTACTGAGTAAAAAAAATATATTTACGACATTTTTTACGTAAAAAAGGTCTCTTGGTAAAAATCCCTTCGAATAATGGTTATCGAGATATTTGGAATCGAAATTATTAATACACCTGTCGTTGTTGTTGACTAAATAGTTATTAGACTGAAATCAGAGTTGGGTCGAATACTGAAATCCGGTATTCGAATATGAATCCTGAATACTGTATTCTAAATTGTATTCGAATACTCAAGATTCGAATATAAAGAAAAAAAAATTTTGAATACCACTGCATTTGAATACCTGGATTCATTTAAATATGAATCTTCTTCTTCTTAAAGTGCCTTCTCCATTCAGTGAAGATCGGCAACAACCATGGCAAATTCCTCTCTATTTTTCGCTCTTCTCAGCAAAGTATGTGAGTCCAGGCCTGTCCAATCTCTGATGTTCTTCAGCCAGGAGCATTGCCGTCGTCCGGGTCCGCGCTTTCCCTCAATTTTACCCTCGATGATGAGCTGAAGGAATTCATACTTGCTATGTCTCATGATATGGCCCAAATAGGCTGCTTTCCTCTTTTTTATTATGTCGAGGAGTTCTCGGTCCTTGTTCATTTGGTTTAGAACTCGTTCATTCGAGACACGGTCAGTCCATTGTATTCTCAGCATTTTGCGATATACCCACATCTAAATATGAATACTTTTTGAATATTTCAACCAAAAAAAAACATATCCGTACTTTAAACTTGATTTTTATTTATGTGCTTAAGTTACAAAAATATGGAACACAATAAGGCAACAATTGGAAAAAAATGATATTTTGACATAACCAATTTTTCTATATAACTCTTTTTGTTTCCTAGCCTACTACTCGAATTTTTAGACCATATAAGCTAAGCGGCAGCCAACATAATTTTTTCTCTTAATATCTCCGATTAGAGACAAGATAGAAAGTTGCGGTTTGCGCTGATATTTTGAAAATTTTGTGCTCTATTTAATTGTGCAAAGAAAATTATAGCCTCCTATTTAAATTTCTTATGGAAAAGCGCAATATCTGTTATGATGTCAAACAGCGCCCTCTAGCTATCACGAAAAAAATTATGGAAACAAAATTTATACTGAATATCATTAAGGAGGAAAGGCTCTTTTAAACGAGCCCTAGTTTATTTAAATTGGTTAACCTAAACCTGAGTTATCCTTATTTTAATAAAAGCTGGTTTAACCTTCCCCCACCACCTTATTTTATGAGATAGAGCAAAACACTCTATATCATAAAAATTACAAATTTCTTGATGATTACAGTAGTAATATTTAAAATACCTGTTCACCTGCATATTTTTGAGAAAAACCCTGTTTTCTGATTGGCTATCAGAGAAACGCCCCCCAGCGGATATTTTTCGAACTTGAAAATAATTTCCAGCAATTTCTCTTGGTCGATATACTTATTAGGATTTTTTTCCCAAAGTTAGGCGATAAGTAGTTTCTGAGATACAGCCGGCATCCATTCTTAGTTGGCCACCCGGTACTTTGTCTGGTATCACACACAAATTATAACAAGTATTAAAATTTATAATAAAATACCTAGAATGGCGATACTGCCCAAGTGCACACGTAATATCTAATCGTGATCCTTAAGCGACCTGTCTCGTCTCACGATTTGGCGATGATTAAATTTAACCTGATTGTCGGCATCGCGAAATGAGAACCGTCCGCAACCCCCGCGAACGTGTTTTAACAAGCTTAAGTTGCGTAAAGCGTAACGCAATATTCATAAACAAAATCAAACAGGATTCGAATACCGGGATTCCAATACAGGATTCGAATACCGGGATTCCAATACAGGATTCGAATACCGGGATTCGAATACATGATTTGAATACTGGGATTCAAAAACGGTATTCAGAATCCAGAATACTGATTACTGACCAAAAAAGTATTCAGTCGAATATCAAATACCAAATACACAAATACAGTGTGACCCACTCAAGACCGGGCACCCTTGTTTTTTTCAAGGGTTACGTGATAACTCATCGTTAAATTGGCAAAAATAGGGAATTATTTAACTTAACTGCAGAATTATTAATAATTAATATTTTTAAACGAAATTTGGTACAGAACTGTTTTGGGGGATGCCGAATGTAGGGGTGTACTCAAATTTTTTGAAAAAAAAATCGCTAATATGATTTTGCAAATTTTTCACCACAAAAACTTTATTAAGTAGGCCTTGTTTTTTGTGAATTAACATGAAATTGAGCCCTAAAGTACATTTTTTGAAACTTTATATTTGAAAAAAAAATCATCAAAATCGGACTATAAACACAGATTTTATGGAGGGTGCCCGGTCTTGAGTGGGTCACACTGTATATTCGAATAGTATTAGAATAGTATTCGAATACCAGTCAAAAGTATTCTGAATAGGATTCAGAATACCGAGTATTCGAATACTACCCAAGTCTGACTGAAATCATAAATTTGAAATGTTTTTCTGCCAAAAGTTCAACGAAAACTGTTTTGTCATCATTTTTTGGCAGAAAAATTTATGATTAATTTACAAAAATAAAATTTTTCCACATTTATTATTTCATTTAAATAACTATTTACTCAGCGTGTTCATTTTTTGTTAATAATGACATGTATTGTTAAGTAAAAAGTCACGCAAATGTATATTTTTTCACTCAGTAGTTTTATACAGGTACGGACGAAAAGTTATTACTCTTTAAAACAGTTAAAAAACATGTAGGTGGCGCCCCCTACAAATAGGAGTCATATTGACATCAAAATCAAATTTCTCATATCAAAAAAAAACCCAGACATCAATTTTCATCCAAATATTAACGTTACTTCACAAATTATTTGCAAAAAATCGAAATAAAAATAAAACTTCTACACCCTGTATCTCCGAAACTATACCAACGTTTTTACTTATTTTTATCTGTAGAATATGCTGCCGAAGTGTCCGGAATACAGTTCGGACCACCCTGTATAATCTTCTTTTAATCTGAAGTAAAAGTTACATTACCTGGATAAATAAAGCCAATCTTTAACTGGAAAAAGCGATCCTCTCCAACGAGTTAACTATTTATTATCGAAAAGTGTTTAGGGAAAAGAAGAGGATATCGACTGTAATTTATGGCCACTTTCGGTTATTTACAACAGGAACGAGCTGCATTTTACGTGCTCCCGGCACGACACACAGCGCGCCCTTTTGTTAAATTTTTAAATTAAATTGAAAAATAGAGCAAACGATTTGGACTTTTTTAATCCTTTTTCTACGGACCTTACAAGAAAGATACTGTATTATAAAAATAATTGATTAATTTTTATAATATATAAAATGGTGTGTTTTATAAACATACACACTCACCGGCACGAAAAACGGGCACGCCTTAAAACTTCTTGTGTTTTAAAGTTTATATACCGGGTGGTCCGAACTGTATTCCGGAAACTTTGGCTGCATATTCTGCAGATTAAAATAAGTAAAAAAGTTCGTATTAATGTATGTCCTGAAATGCTTACTTTAGGAGATACAGGGTGTAGAAGTTTAATTTTTATTTCGATTTTTTCCAAATAATTTATGAAGAAACGTCAAAATTGGGATGAAAATTGGTGTCTGGGAGTTTTTTGACATGAGAAATTTGATTTTCATGTCAATATAACTCCTACCTGTAGAGGGTGCCACCTACATATTTTTTAACTGGTTTGAAGAGTAATAACTTTTTGTCCATACCTGTATAAAATTACTGAATAGAAAAAAATTAATTTCCGTGACTTTTTACGTAAAAAATGTCACTTGGTAAAAATCGTTACGAGCAATCGTTCTCAAGATATTTAGAATGGAAACAGTCAATACATGTCATTATTGACATAAATTATTAAACATGTTGACCAGGCCCGTTTCTGGGGTATCTGGCGCCTACGTGCAGCATTCTTTGGTGCGCCCTTTTTATATTTAAATCAATTATATATTTTAATCTTAATCTCAAAAATTTAAAGAATTTATATTCTGCGACAAACGAGCAATATGTTAATTGTAAATGTAAAAAAAACTATTCTAATTAAAGTATAAAAACATTTATTAAATAAATAAAACAAACAAAACCACAAATATTTAGTAACAAAAATAGTACTCTAAAGAACCATTTTATATGAAATAGATAAAAACAATAAACTAAAATTCGGAAATAATACACATGTATTGATTTCTTTCGAAAATCGACAACTATGAAACTATGAACCCTTTCTGGACACAAACGGTACATTGTGAGATAGTAAATTGTAGAGAGAAACAAGCGCTATAATATAGGATACAACAGTTTAATGAACAGTGCTTTTCGTAGTATCAATAAAATGAAAAATATACGAAATAATATACATGTACTGATTTCTTTCGAAAATCGACAACTATGAAACTATGATCCCTTCCCCGACACAAACAGTACATTGTGAGACAGGAAATTGTAGAGAGAAACAAGCCCTATAACATAGGATACAACATTTTAATGAAATCAAATCCATAAAATCAATAAAATACAAAATATACGAAATAATATACATGTACTAATTTCTTTCGAAAATCGACAACTATGAAACTATGATCCCTTCCCCGACACAAACAGTACATTGTGAGACAGGAAATTGTAGAGAGAAACAAGTCCTATAACATAGGATACAACATTTTAATGAACAGCGCTTTCCATAGTATCAATAAAATGAAAAATATACGAAATAATATACATGTACTGATTTCTTTCGAAAATCGACAACTATGAAACTATGATCCCTTCCCCGACACAAACAGTACATTGTGAGACAGGAAATTGTAGAGAGAAACAAACCCTTTTAACATAAGATACAACATTTTAATGAAATCAAATCCATAAAATCAATAAAATACAAAATATACGAAATAATATACATGTACTGATTTCTTTCGAAAATCGACAACTATGAAACTATGATCCCTTCCCCGACACAAACGGTACATTGTGAGACAGGAAATTGTAGAGAGAAACAAGCCCTGTAACATAGGATACAACATTTTAATGAACAGCGCTTTCCATAGTATCAATAAAATGAAAAATATACGAAATAATATACATGTACTGATTTCTTTCGAAAATCGACAACTATGAAACTATGATCCCTTCCCCGACACAAACAGTACATTGTGAGACAGGAAATTGTAGAGAGAAACAAACCCTTTAACATAAGATACAACATTTTAATGAAATCAAATCCATAAAATCAATAAAATACAAAATATACGAAATAATATACATGTACTGATTTCTTTCGAAAATCGACAACTATGAAACTATGATCCCTTCCGACACAAACAGTACATTGTGAGACAGGAAATTGTAGAGAGGAACAAACCCTATAACATAGGATACAACATTTTAATGAAATCAAATCCATAAAATCAATAAAATACAAAATATACGAAATAATATACATGTACTGATTTCTTTCGAAAATCGACAACTATGAAACTATGATCCTTTCCCCGACACAAACAGTACATTGTGAGACAGGAAATTGTAGAGAGAAACAAGTCCTATAACATAGGATACAACATTTTAATGAACAGCGCTTTCCATAGTATCAATAAAATGAAAAATATACGAAATAATATACATGTACTGATTTCTTTCGAAAATCGACAACTATGAAACTATGATCCCTTCCCCGAGACAAACAGTACATTGTGAGACAGGAAATTGTAGAGAGAAACAAACCCTTTAACATAAGATACAACATTTTAATGAAATCAAATCCATAAAATCAATAAAATACAAAATATACGAAATAATATACATGTACTGATTTCTTTCGAAAATCGACAACTATGAAACTATGATCCCTTTCCCGACACAAACGGTACATTGTGAGACAGGAAATTGTAGAGAGAAACAAGCCCTGTAACATAGGATACAACATTTTAATGAACAGTGCTTTCCATAGTATCAATAAAATGAAAAATATACGAAATAATATTCGTGTACTGATTTCTTTCGAAAATCGACAACTATGAAACTATGATCCCTTCCGACACAAACAGTACATTGTGAGACAGGAAATTGTAGAGAGGAACAAACCCTATAACATAGGATACAACATTTTAATGAAATCAAATCCATAAAATCAATAAAATACAAAATATACGAAATAATATACATGTACTGATGTCTTTCGAAAATCGACAACTATGAAACTATGATCCCTTCCCCGACACAAACGGTACATTGTGAGACAGGAAATCGTAGAGAGAAACAAGCCGTATAACATGGGATACAACATTTTAATGAACAGTACTTTCCATAATATGAATAAAATGAAAAATAAATAGATGAGATCAATGTGTTGCCGACAGATTGCTCTAGACTTGATTATTCGGTCCGGCAACGCAAAAAAGACGTTAAGCAAACTTTATGCTATGATGGTTTAAGAATTTGTTTATTGGTTAGTAAGAAAGCGTATCGGTTTTTTGTTACAAAGTACTGATTGACCCTTTGATTTTGCGTCCCCAAAATGTAGCGCCTACGTGCGTGCACGCACTGCACGCTTGCCAGGAACGGCCCTGATGTTGACTAAATAGTTCTTAGACTGAAATCATAAATTTAAAATGTTTTTGTGTCAAAAGTTCAACAGAAACTGTTTAATTATCATTTTTTCGCAGAAAAAATTATGATTAATTTAAAAAAAAAAAAATTATTATTTCAATCAAAAACGTGTGTTTATTTTTTGTCAATAATGACATCTATTGACTATTTCCAAATATCTTGAGAACGGTTGCTCGTAGCGATTTTTACCAAGAAACATTTTTTACGTAAAAAGTTATGAAATGTATATTTTTTCACTCTGTAGTTTTATACAGGTACGGACGAAAAGTTGTTACTCTTCAAAGCAGTTAAAACACATGTAGGTGGCGCCCTCTACAAATAGGAGTCATATTGACATCAACATCAAATTTCTCGTATCATAAAACTCCCAGACACCAATTTTCATCCAAATATTGACGTTACTTCAGAAATTATTTGGAATAAATCGAAATGAAAATGAAACTTCTACACCCTGTCTCTCCGAAACTAAGCATTTTAGGACATACATTTATACGAACTTCTTTACTTATTTTTATCTGCAGAATATGCTGCCGGAATATAGTTCGGACCACCCTGTATACTGTTCTAGTGGACCGATTTTGATGATTTGATTTTTTTTCACAAAACACCTTGTAGCTAAATTATTTGACTTTTTAGTGTATCTTTCTAAATTAAAAATGAAAATTTCCATCTGTCAATTATTGGTGAAAGTTTGAAACACCCTGTGGAGTATGTTAACAAAGCAAAGAATTTATTTTTAAAAATAATTTTATCATCTAGATGTAACTTCTCTCGATATTTTGTTTTTTTTTGGTTTAGTCTAAGAGATATTTTTAATGACTACTTATCAAAATGTCACTTTGTATATTTGTTTGTATATTTATATAATTTTTGTAATAAAAATTGGACAACATTTTAAAATCTTAGCGAATCCTGTATGAAAAGGGACATCGGGTAGTTAAATTTTCCTGCCTCGATTTGCAGCGTTAGTTCCGATTGGCAAACTCGTTAAAACATTGATCAGCAATGAAATATTTGGAGTTGGGGATATCGTGGCAATTTAAATTTATTCTAGATTTATTATTCATAATAAAATTACTGGAAATTGTTCTCATTTTAAATCGAAAGATAAACTGAAAAGAGAATATCATTAAATATTTATTTTATTTTCCGATATAGATTTAGCTAGTTTGGGATATTTTTAATATGTATATGTTATTAAAACATGAAATATAGTTCACATTTCTAAATAAACATTATCATTTATTATATTGAATAAAATTATAATTATACTTTTATCAAGTTAACTTAAATTTTAAAACAAAATATTATTATGTATCTATTATAAATTATTTTTAAATAAAAGTACTAAAACTAACTTAGTACGAGTTAAAAAAATTGTGAACTGTAGGTTGGAGTAGATTTCTTATAAATAACTTAGTATTTATAAAATAATTAAATTATTTACCTGTTTTGAAACCTGTTCAGCTCCACTGGCCAGATAATGTTTTTGCATTATGTTTGGTGCTATGAGTTGTCTGAAAAAAAAAATATTTCTGTTAATTATATTATCAAAAATAAACATTTAATATCTAGTATAACAACCTATGTTCGTTCAACAAAGTTGAAGAGGTAATATTTTGGCCAACTGTATAACTAAACAATTTAAATGAAATACAGGAATCTACGTTGTGTTAAAAATATTTTTTATTGTGATTACCTCGAATGCGCTCGACACAAGCAAAAAAACACCAACGCGTCTCGAACGGTAGTCCACAAGCTATTACTTAACATCTATTATCGCTGTTATTTGTCTGCCTTCCCTCTCCCTACTGTGCAAATAATATTTTAGAAATCAATAATATTATTTATGTATACAGAGTTTCTTAAAAGGTAATGTTTTAAATTTAAAGGAATATGTTTATTTTTAAATAGGTGGTTCATCTCAAATAGTACATTATACACTTAGTGTGTACAGTGTCCCATTTTGATGAATAATGAGTATAATAATTATAATTGGTAATATTTTTTTGATTATGAGTCTTAGATTATATTGTGCATACAACTTAACAAGTATAGCTAAAGACGTGAGAAATATAAAATAAGAGACGCCCTCGATGCGCAGTGGACAGCCCACAAATTTCCTTTAATCAGATTTTTCGTAGTGTAACTGCATCTCTCTTCCGCCGAATGCGTTCTCTGCACTCTTCCGCCGAATGCGTTCTCTCTCTATCGTGTGCGCGACCGGTGCTATCCCCAAGTATCTTCCTATATTTGTCAAACTGTACTTAGTAAGCACATTATTAATGCACATTTAATCGTAGACATTATCAACATTCATCTATAGATGTTTGTTTCCGATTTCTGTAGAGTAACTTTTTTAAACAATCTTACATAATAAATCGTTATTTTTTCATCATTCGTCTCTATACAAGGTCGGTAATATGTATGGGTACAATCGATAATTAGGTAAAATATACATTATTTAGGTAAATATCAATATCATTTTAGGAATAGCGATTTATTATGTGGAAAAAGTATTATTAAATTGCAAAGAAGGTTTAAAGAAGTTACCCTACTGAAATCAGAAGAAAATCTCTATAGATGAATGTTGATAATTTCTAAAGACCTTATTTTAAAATTATTCTGAAAGCAAATCTTTAATTGGTAACAGCAAATTTGCAAGCAGATTTTAATATTTTACAATAAAATGGTTTAAATTAACTCTCATTTGAAAGGAAATATTAATGCTACTCAAAGCTCTTCTTGTTTACTGTAAATACGCCAAGGGCGTCGAATTCAGAAAGTTTCTTGGTGTAGAAATATCAACGTACGTGCCAAACTTCTAATCATTTATAGAAAAAGTTTGATACATTCTTCCTGTTTTTTTTATTATACTTAAAGATCTCGATTATAATCTTTGTTTAGAAACTTTTATATTGGTTTTCCAAGTCTCGAACTCCATTGTGCTGGCTTGATATCAAAAATTCCGATCTGTGCGTAGTTTAATATCGATTTGTCATGGGTTAAAGTAGAGAAAGTTACGGAAAAAAAATTAAAATTTACTCATAATCAAGTCAAAATATTAGTTAAGTTAGGTTAGGTCCGGTTCTTTAACAACTATATATAACCGGTTTTAATAATCGCTATCGGTTTGAAGGTACTTTAAGGTCATATTATGAACCGGGGGCCACCATCTTAGATTAAGTGATTAAAATACTTAGTCTAAAATACTACTTAGTTATGAGAATTCTCAAGAACTTCGATTAGGGCTGTATTCCGTTGCAAAGACAGGCGAACTAGACCAGTAAACTACGGTAAAGAGCGTTCCTGAAAAACACTGGTTTGATACGGAACGGTTTGGTAAAATATTGGTAACGTCAAATGTTGACGTTTTCTAAATTTCAATACCTTTATTATAAAATTTATCTTTTATGCATTTTTAATGTACCTATTCTCTGCTATTACTTTTGCTTCTTCTTTTCAATGGAGTTTAATACTGAAAAGTACTTTATTAATAAACTGTTAAACTCGTTAGACAGCTCAAGTGAAGATTTGCAGGCCCAATATTAAAACAGATCAATAATAAACAAATCTAATCAATATTTATATTTTTATAGCTTACAAAATATTCACGATTACTTGTTGTCTTGTTTTTCATGTTGTGTTTAAATGTTCCTGACTTTAAGAAACAATGGCTGCATGATAAGTTTAAATGGCCCTAAAAAGTCATTCTATTTAGTTAATGAAATTTATGTACGTTTACTGCCTACCTCCATTAAAATACTATTACAAATTTTAGAAATTAAATGAGAATTTCACTCGAACTTTAAATATTTGCTTGATTTCTGTCACATAAATGACACTCATGACACTGATTGACAAACAAAACCAGAAAAAACAGCCTTCTCGCGCTGGTTAGCTAAATGTTCTTTAAATCTAGTTAATATTGATCTTCTAAATCAGATAAGCTCAGATAAGATATGGTAGACCGGATAAATCTTGCGTTGCCGAACATATTGTTGATAAAGAACATTGTATAGATCTTAATAATTTAAAATTAATTAAACAAGTCTCAAATTACAGGCAATTAGATGCATATGAAAGCATCAGAAATTTATTTATTTATTCGTGTCAGAAGCATTATCAAGATTACATTTCATATACATATAATATCACATACAACAACAATAACAACAATAATTACATATAATAATAATAATAATAATAAGTAAAATTGCAAACATAAAAGTTATATATGAAACCACAGTACATTAAAACATAGATATAAAACAAACATAGCATGTATAAACATCATTTGAGACGGGAAACTAAACATGTTTTGTCCAGAAGCGGGCGACGTCAATTGCGTTCGACTTTGCTGCCATAAGGTCCTCTATAGTGCACTTGGCGGGGCACAGTTGGCAATTATACATATGTTGGGTGGTTTGTAGTACTCCACATTCGCAGAGGTTGGATCCACATGGTAGCCCCACTTGGCAATAGTGTCTCTCGATCTCGCTGTGCCCGTACGCAGTCTGTTAAGAGCTCTCCAAGTTTCCCAGTTTTCGTCGCTTCCTGGTGCCAATTGTTCCTTCGGCTCCATCCAATGTTGATTTGAGGTCTTCTCCCAAAGGATCACATTGGTTCTAGGTTCCTCTGTCGATCGCAAGAAGCTTTGCCTTGATTTCAGTCGCTGATAAGCGGGTTGGATGCCGTAGAGTAGGTGGCGTTCAGTTGCTGCTGCTTTGGATCGTTCTTTGAGTGCAGCTGCCTCTCTACGGATGGCAGGAGGGGCGATGCCAGCTAGATGGTGGAAAAAATAAAAAAAAAAATAAAAATAAATAAAAATAGAATCAGAAATAATAAATGTAAAGATAGTATGAACAGAGACAACGGTCCAATTCCTTCAAGTTCTTTGTTCCTACTACTCTAGTGGCGGAAATCTAACTGTTACGCTCAATGGGCTCTGTCTCGGTTGGCTAGATTTGGCCACGCCCACTCGGTGCCCATTGAGCGAGTATATAAACGCTCAACTTATAGATTGTACTTTAGTTTATAATCATCTGCTGATGATGCTAACATGGTTAGCGAAACGCGCGTCCAGTGTAAAAGTAAAAGTGTTTTGGTGTATTGTGGTGATTTACTGTTTTTATTTTGCTGTGTAACACCAAAGGTTCCAACCCTCAACTGTAAACCGATAGAAACGGAACATAAAACCATAACCAAGGTAAGCAACGGAATACACCTTAAATGACTACCAGCTGTCATTGTCACTCTTATTTCTACGCCTACTCTGGTGTCGTAGTTATTCGTCGTAATGCATATTTGTTTAACATATTCTCTTTTTGTCTGAACATATTACTTATTAAATGACTCCTACGCTGAATCAAGAAATCTTGTTAAAATATAGAAAATCCGATTATACTTCGTTATTTAAATTACTCCGTCAGTTCTCACTACCCACTATTCTTCATGATTTAAGGAATTATGTACAAAATATGTATGAAGGAATAAGTAGATTAATAAATTACATTGTGTAAAATATTGATAGGATTTTCGGGCTAGTTTCGAAAAGTCAAACAAGCTCTATAGAAGTTTTGAGGAAAATTTAATATAGGGCTAAGCTACCACTGCTTTATTATTAATTTTGCTAAATTACTAAACCATAGTTAGAAAGCAAAGAAAATAGAAAAAATGGATTTGACCCATAGAGGCTCTCCTCCAACTCCTCTCCGCAATAGTTTTTGCTTTAAATTGAATTAAAACTAACGTAAGAAAATTGTGTCAAGTTTGATATAAAATAAAAATATAATAAAGTAACAAAAAGCTAAAAAGTGGGTTTATTGGCTGAATTTTGAAAAACTTTATTGGGAAAACTTGGTTCTTTTTTAACTTTACATAAGTATGTTAATTCCTATCCGATAGTCAAGCAGCACTAAAAGCAATCAACTCAGTAACCATTCGAAGTTGGTCAAAGAATGCCTAGGGAAGCTGAACAAATTAGGCAAAAAAGTCTACTCTGGGTGCCCGCTCAACAAGGGATAGAAGGCAATGAAAAAGCAAACGATGTGGCTAGTAAAGGAACGAACACTAAATTAAAATATTAAAATATAAAGTGTGAGTGAAAATCATAGAATGAAATTGATGTTTCTTCAAATATATATCTATCTATTTTTTGATTAAAATATCTGAATACTATTTGTCTGTTCAATTCTAAATTTTTTTTTATTGAAACTTGGCCTATTTTGACTATAAGAAAATAATTATTAAAATGGCGGAAAATAATGTTTTTATTTTTTATCTTGAAAACGAAAGAGAGATAGACTAATAAAATTTTATGGAAGCATTACTGTTATGAAAACACACTTTCTGATAATTTTTTCACTTTTTTAAAATGAGTGGAAGGGGTTGAAATAAACTACCCCTATCGTTCTTGTTAACGAAATTTAAAGAAAAATCTTATCAAACACATGCAAAAAAAATAATTTGGATAGTATAGTTTGTTTAGAAACTTTTTTATCTCTTGTATTTTTTT